TACTACAAGGCTACAGTAACCAAACCAGCATGGTACTGGTACCAAAACAGAGATATAGACCAATGAATAGAACAGAGTCCTCAGAAATAATACCACACATCTACAGCCATCTGATCTTTGACAAACCTGAGAAAAACAAGAAATGGGGAAAGGATTCCCTATTTAATATATGGTGCTGGGAAAATTGGCTAGTCATAAGTAGAAAGCTGAAACTGGATCCTTTCCTTACTCCTTATACAAAAATTAATTCAAGATGGATTAGGGACTTAAATGTTAGACCTAATACCAGAAAAACCCTAGAAGAAAACCTAGGTAATACCATTCAGGACATAGGCATGGGCAAGGACTTCATGTCTAAAACACCAAAAGCAACGGCAACAAAAGCCAAAATTGACAAATGGGATCTGATTAAACTAAAGAGCTTCTGCACAGCAAAAGAAACTACCGTCAGAGTGAACAGGCAACCTACAGAATGGGAGAAAATTTTTGCAATCTACTCATTTGACAAAGGGCTAATATCCAGAACCTACAAAGAACTCAAACAAATTTACAAGATAAAAACAAACAACCCCATCAAAAAGTGGGCAAAGGATATGAAAAGGCATTTCTCAAAAGAAGACATTCATACAGCCAACAGACACATGAAAAAATGCTCATCATCACTGGCCATCAGAGAAATGCAAATCAAAACCACAATGAGATACCATCTCACACAAGTTAGAATGGCAATGATTAAAAAGTCAGGAAACAACAGGTGCTGGAGAGGATGTGGAGAAATAGGAACACTTTTACACTGTTGGTGGGATTGTAAACTAGTTCAACCATTATGGAAAACAGTATGGCGATTCCTCAAGGATCTAGAACTAGAAGTACCATATGACCCAGCCATCCCATTACTGGGGATATACCCAAAGGATTATAAATCATGCTGCTATAAAGACACATGCACACGTATGTTTATTGTGGCACTATTCACAATAGCAAAGACTTGGAATCAACCCAAATGTCCATCAGTAACAGACTGGATTAAGAAAATGTGGCACATATACACCATGGAATACTATGCAGCCATAAAAAAGGATGAGTTTATGTCCTTTGTAGGGACATGGATGCAGCTGGAAACCATCATTCTCAGCAAACTATCACAAGAACAGAAAACCAAACACCGCATGTTCTCACTCATAGGTGGGAACTGAACAATGAGATCACTTGGACTCGGGAAGGGGAACATCACACACTGGGGCCTATCATGGGGAGGGGGGAGGGGGGAGGGGGGAGGGATTGCATTGGGAGTTATACCTGATGTAAATGAGGAGTCGATGGGTGCTGATGAATTGATGGGTGCAGCACACCAACATGGCACATGTATACATATGTAACAAACCTGCACGTTATGCACATGTACCCTAGAACTTAAAGTATAATAATAATAATAATAATAAAAAAGAAAAGTGCTCTCCCTATACCCAGGGTATAGGAGTCAAAGATACTGAGATACCAAGAAGAACGTGAACACACAGGTTTTGCTAAGCTTCCCCCAGTTCAGTACCATTAGACCACACCCTTTATCCTCTAATCATATTTCTTTGTGACTGCCCACCCTTCCTCAAGCCTTTCATAAAAAATACAGAAATTTGCCTCATTATTCAGGCTTCATTTCCTAAAGAAGTCTACAGTGTCATGAAAAACTTATATAATCAATTGATATTCTTTTCTTTTGTTAATCTGTCTTCTATAATAGCGCCCTCAGCCATGAACCTAGCGATGGGTGAGGAAAATCCACTGCTTCTCACCTACAATTTTCAACACACAAACAAAGGGCAAAACATTGTTTCAAAAAGTTATGCAGTTTGTGCAAAATGAATGTCAGGGGAAAAAATAGTCAGGCTAGTGCCTTGCAGAAACACTATTTTTGAAAAGCTATTTGGGTGGCATAGGAGAGCCTAAGCTGTTAAGAAGATTTTTCAAGCAAGGCGTTAAGATCATTCTAATTGTAAATGTTATTAAACCAGGGCTTTCGCTTTTTTGTTGTCTTTTAAGACTTATTTAAACAATATGTGGGGTTTTCGTTTCGGATTTTTTTTTTTTTTCATGCTGAAGTCCCTAGGGTGTTTTGTGGCAAGGTACTGACAAAAATTCATTTTCGCTGAATTTCCTCTAGTGAAATAGTTCTCAAAAAATTGATTTCACTAGTTTGCATGTCTTGCTGATTTTTGTAGTAAGCAGAAGAAGCTCAGTTTTGCAATGTAAGATCACATTGTAGTCACACTTAAAATTTTAAATAATGTGTCAGCAATGAAATAAATTTGACTGAAAGTTCAAGTGAATATCTAGCTGAGGTAGAGAGTGAGGTATGTCCTTTTTGGATAGTCTGAGGGATTTTAACTGACATGTTGAACATCTTATAATGTTACAAGATAACATTCCCCAGTGTTCGCTCAAGATCTAAACTGCCTGAGGACCCTGCTACGGACTCTTTCCAAGTTGAACCCTTGGCAGTTAGGGAATGTAATATTTGTTGGGTATTTTTAATGATTTATTTTTTAAATATTAAATTTTCTACTTCTTTTCTTTCAGCCTCTGTTTCAGTTTAATTGAATAATATCTTGAGACAGATTGGCATACAAACTGTTAAAAATGTTCATCATTTTCAGCTACTTATTCATATGAAACAAGATTTTCCCTATTTTACAAAAAAAAAAAAAACCACCCAAATATAGAAATACAGTGTGTGCTGACTTTGACATAAAACTATATCCATCACCCATCCTTCAAATGTTTGTGTTTTTAGAACAGCCTCTTCTTTTGTTGTTGGTATTTTAAAAACCAACCTACCCACTCAACCTAACCACTTCTACTGTATGACAAAACTTAATAAATTTTCCTTGTATTTTCCTATGCTTCTCACTGATTGACTTTATAAGTAAATGTTATACTTTTACATTAAAAACTATATAGTACTATAATACTTTGATCTATTTCATTTATTAGAAATTGTGCATAAGATTCTGCCATTCAAAAAAATAAAAGAAAAACAAAAATACTTAGAGGTGACATCCCACAGAAAAAAAAAAGAGATTCCACTACTCAGAGTTTGACATTCACTGTTCTAAGCAAGCATTATGTGGTAGAACAATTTCTGGTCCTGCTACCAGAAGACCTGAGTTTAGTTTCAGATACACCAAGTAGATGGTGTGACTTTGGACAAGTCACCCTGCTTCTCAGGCTCTCAGACTGCTCACCTATACACAGGGCAGGTTATGGCATTCCAGGGAAATTGAGGAAGCGAGGATGGAGCTGGAACAGAGAGAATCTAGAGGGAGCAGAATGTGGGGCCACCTTCAAAGCTCTACCATGTGGTACCATATCCTTTGGATAGACTATATCTATTTCTCTACATCAGAATAATTAAATTGTTTCTAATTTTTTAGATAATGAGGAGCATTGTGATGAATGTATTTTTATGTATTTTTAGGTTAGGAAATTTTTCTGGAATAAGAATTATTGAATGAAAGAATAATAGCTTTAATTTTTTTTCTAAATACTTTCTGTAAAACACATTTCTAGAAAATTTATTCAAATTTTGGCCAGAATTGAGTGAGAGTGTCTGTACACCTTCCTATCACTAATTGTTTTTACATTTAAAAAAATTTGTCAACTTGATAAGCAATAATGTATTTATTATTGCTTTCATTAGATTTCTTAGATTACTAGTGAAGTTTAATATATGTTTGTGTCCATCATTTCTCTGAATTTCTTTTACTGTGTACTGCTAACCATCTCAGTTGTTATTTTTCTACTGTGTGGTTGGTAATAGTAATTGTTTCATAAAATTTCTTTGATTCTAAAGGATATTAATTCATTGTCATATTTTACAAGTGTATTATCAAGTTTGTCACTTGTGTTTTAATTTTATAAAATTTCCATATATAATTTCTACATTTTTATGTTGTCAAGCTTGACATTTGCTCTCACTCATGACTTTTATGCCTTGAAACTCCTTCTGTATGCTAAGACCACTGTATGTGTACATTTCTATTTTATATTGTTCTTAATACAAACAGCTATTAATCTACTTTTTTTATGTTTTATCTGAGATTGGTATAACCTACTTTTTTCTAAAGAGTCAGTTTTACCTATACCATTTGTTGAATGATCCATCAGTTTCCCATTGTTTATTAAGTTTTATTAATCTTATACTAAACATTTCATATATAATACAAATCATTTAGTGTCAATTTTACGTATTTTTAATATTCTATGAAATGCGATATTTATACAAAGATCTCTATATACCTTACAGATTAATTTTAGTTATCAGATATTTTTATAAAGTAATACTGCATCTGTGTAATAGCTCTAAGGCAAGTCATACATCTTCTTGGTGTTTCCATGCCTAGTGCAGAGTTTGGCATACATTAGGCACTCAATAGTAACGGAATTACATGAGCCTTTTTCAAGAGAAATATTCTATTTTGTGTGACAAAAGAAGGGACATAAAGTAGACTACATAGATTGTGTTGGCTACTTCAGTTTCTTTCTCTTTTTTTTTTTTTTTTAAATAAACACTAATAAAACAGGATTGATATCTCTTGAAAGTTCTAGTGAAGCGAGGAGGTTTTCCAGAAGGTGGTTGGATCCCTTTATTAAAAGCATCTGTGCCATGGCCACTGGCAGAAGCCCAAACAGCCTGAAGTGGATGGCTCTGGGAAATCACAGCGATATAGAAGACAGCCAAATTCTAAGATGGAACAAACCATAAAGTCATACTGCATCTTAATTTGATGACCCACAGGGAACGTCTTTCTGCCTCATCAAGTCTATAAAGCAAGGTATTTATGGTGTTCTTGTGCACTTAATAGGTAACAAGAGTAATGTATAATAATGTAATTACACTGACTTAACACAGACTGTTTCTTAAGGTATTCTGTTGTTAATTTTACTACTTTCATTTTCTCCATGTGTGATTGATTTTGCATTCATTGTTTCATAATAGATATCCATCTTCGGTGAAGCATTCAGAAAGCAAGTGCCTGGGAATATTATCTCAGGGAATATTCACATTAAAGAAGTCATATAATTCAAAAGATGAAAAATGCCATGTATCTCCTATCCAATATGGTAAGTAACAGCTGAAAGTCAACTCTGGATCATCTGTATAGTGGGGCGATAAAGAGCATATAAAATCATAAATAAACTCAGAGTGGTTTTTGTTTTGGAATGGTTCCTGTACTTCCATATGAATAAGACAGTGACTCACTCCCTTGGGAATTCACAGTACATCAAACCAAATTAGGAAGCCAGGCAGCTGTGACCTGCTTTTGTAAGGGCCAAGAAAACTACAGAGTTTCACTACTGAACCTAGAACTCAAAATGATTCCCTGATTCCCATGCCATTTGGGACATGGGTGTATCTTACTGACTCATAAAAAATGCCACTCTGGGCTTGTGTTTTCTCTTACCTTACCCAGAGTTGTATGTGAGGAAATAAAGGCTTGAGAGATCTTGAGGTGGCAGTTTACAGGAGGGCAAAAGGAAACAGGAGTTAGAATAAACAATGTTAGTTAGTAACAACTTGGATGCAAGACTGACCTCATGCAATCTCTAAGGTAAATCCCCAAGATTTATTTTATATAACTACAGTAAAAATTACCCTCATGAATTGAGTTCTAATACTAATGCTCACTTCAGGTACATTGAATCGAAGGAGGGAGAGAGCTCTCAACAGCTTGTTCTCAGTCTGCTCCGGTAAGTTTTATTCTCCATTGTTTTGGGAATGCCTTCGGAAAGGATAGGAGTTGTGGTGATTCTCGAAATTAGAGGTTGGGATGAAAGCATAAGCGGTATTTTTTTAATAGTAGAAAGGGATGTGATGTGGAGAACAGGTTAGAAAGAAACTCTGGTTGTATTACTTTAGGATCTGATAATATTCCTCCAAATTTGAAACACTCACAACCTACCCAATAGTTGTGATTTTTTGGTACCTGGCTTAATTTTCTGTGAAGGTATTAGAATAAAAATTAGGAGATCTATTCTATTTCTTTATTTTCATTGGTGAATCAGCCTTGTTTCTTAAAGAAAATGGAAACCTGTTTTTATAAAGAATTATTTAGGTAGTTTTCCTTGAAAAAAATAAATATCTTCAGAATGTCCAGATGATGGATGTATTACGCTTTGAAAATTTTAATATAGGGGAACATCTCATAATGGAAACAGCTTAATAAGCAGGGAATTTCCATGCACTGATTTTTGTAGAAACTCTAGTATTATTTTTATTCCTTGTTTGGTTACAAGCAGTGTTCTCTTGGCTTTTGTTCAGGGTAAAGCTTACAAAACTACCTGTTGGGTTCTTTCATCATTATTGTTGCCACTGGAAGGGCTTTTACCACCACTTTTGCACTCTACAGCCTCCTGAATACATCTGTTCATCTAAGAAAAGGATTAAATTCAAGATAACCCTTGCCATCTGCGTTCTGTCACATGGTTAGGATGAAGACTGACACAGGAGACAAGTGACGGTAAGTTGGAAATAGCCTGTTATCCAAGAAATGACAGTTATTTCCTTATTTTATACTCGAAGTGTGGGACTAAACCAAAATATTGTCGTCTACACTCACTGACTTTAATAGGCGATCCTCCTCCGGGCCTGACCACTCCCAAGCTCTTTATGTCTTACCCTCTGTTATTCTTTCAACAAAGCTTGAAAATGAATAAGGAACTTTGCTGGCACCTGCCAAGAGAAAAAGAATTCACCAGTGGCCACAACCAAGCCTGCATTGTTTATCAGAACATAAAGTTCGGTTGAAATCCCACAGTGACGTCATCCCCCAGCACTTACTGATGAAGCTAGGGACAATTCCAAGACATTTTCAATGGGATTAGGTACCCTGCGCAGGAAATGGTCAACCAGCTTGCACTTCAAAGACTTTTCCTCTACTTACGTTGTGCTTAGCTCTTAAAAGAAGTGGAAAGGAACCTAAATCACAGACTCAGGCTAAGTTGATTCTTAAAAGGATTCCAAGAGAACTTCATATGCTGTGGTTATTTTTCTATCGGTTGATAACTTGATGTAATTACTGGCATTTAGGTGACTCTTTTTCTGCAACATCGTTAGACTCATGGAGACTTTGTTCTAGGAATAGAAAAACATTCAGTATCATATGGGTAACACAAAAATAGTCCTAGAGAGACTGGTCTTTTAGGAGGTAGAGCTGCAAATGGTTTGAAAAGCAAATTGTCCACATTGATGGGGAGGGTCATGTATACCTAGGTGTTGAAAACTAGCATCAAAGAAATAAATTCTTAAAAGATTAACAGATCAGAAATTTAGGATACATGTATTTAGATGGAAAAAGCAGCATGGAGAGGACTTGACATGCTATATGCCAGCTGAGGTGTTAAATATTTAAACTTTTTCTCATTCTATAATGCATGTGTTCTGTATTCTAATTGGAAAAGATATGAAGCAGATACAGGCACATTTCCTATTTATAGAAATGCATTATGATCTTGAATTCTCTTTTGCCAATGAAATTTTTGGATGACCCTACAAATATTCTTATAAAATTATTAAAGAAAATGACTAAGCTAAAATTAGTGAAGGCTCATGATCACTTTTTTACAAATCTGAATGTTTCAACATTATCTAGGATAATTAAGACAAGAATATAACCTTTTAGGGTTAGGAGACCTAGGTTTAAGTTTGGTTTTCTTATTTATAAAATAAGGATAGCAATATTTACTTTAAATATTTCTTGTGAAGGCTAAATGAGCTAATTTTAAAGAGTTCTCTAAACAGTAGTGGTAGTAATGATAATAATAATAACAACAGACTAGGCAGAGTTTCTTCAGTGCTTGCAATGTGATGGACACTGTTCTGTCCTGTATTAACTACTCTAATTTTCGCAACTCCTTCGTGGATCAGGTGCAACCCTTTAACATATAAAGTCAATCATAGAAAGGTTAAATAATTTGCGCAAAGTCATTTGGTTAGTAAATGGCAGGGTCAGAATTTATACTGTCTTCTATTATGAGCTGCTTCTGCCCATACAGTGCATATTGAAATACTAGGAATAAAAAAATATAGTATGCTTTGCCTAAAGACCGCCTATGTAATAAACATATCACAAGTAATCTAATGAGGCTTATGTAGTCACAGTAGGGATGTACTACCGTCATGTTGAGAGAAAATCTATATGTGGTTGTAGGGACTAATAGAGCAATTCACAGTGAGGACGTGATTACTTAAGTGTAGAAATTTTTCATAACGTTTTATTGGGTGGCAGTATCTTAAATATTTCTTTTTTCTTAGCAAAGTTCTTCAAGAAGTCATAATAAGCCACAGAGTTACAGTGGTAACATCTGGAAGACTGGTTCCTTAGGTGAGCCTCCTAAAAGGCCTTTTGTTAGGTCAAAATGAACAAAGGGTTCATTATCTGCTGCCCTTATTTTTCCATGGAAACTGAAGACTTTCAAAAAAGGAGGCATTCGGTAGCAAAAGTGGAAAGATTGGCTTGGATTGTTCTCCCTGCCTATTATAGCCAGAGGAGTTCTTTTATTTTGAGAAGACATTTACGATTCTTTCCACAAGCTGAACACACATTTACCCAGGAGAATAACTCCCATACTCAGTTGATCTGAAAAAATGATATAATAATATTTTGATACCTTCTATTTCCCCTTATTAGGAATAATAATTTGGGGAGTTTTTAAAATGAATACATAAGGCAGTTAGCTTTAAACATTTCCCATAATACCACAGAGGAAATAAACACAACACAAAACAATTCCCATGTGAAAACCTACTAGTCAGCTTATAGTGATAATCTGATTGGAAAACACTTTGTTCATTATAAAATGTTAGATACTATATTTCAAACATGATAGAAATCTGAAATTAATCCCTGTCCACGCATAAATGGAATGCCTTAAAATGCCATAAGATATTGTATTTCCACCTTAAACACCTTTGTGGCATAAGTCATCCACAGGAGCTATCTGTTTATAATAAAAAAGTAAACTTGCTTTAAATAAAATTGAAATTCCAAATATTTTTAAATTTAGGATGCATCCTATAGGGGTTTCACTGCCAATACTTTCACTCTGTTTCATAGCTGCACATATTCTAGTAGTGGTACAGAAACAAAACTGGAATTCTGGTTTCAGAGATGATACCGAATGTGAAAGATAAAGAAAATGTCTGAGGCCTAGTATACTTATGTCTTTTTTAGATTCATAAATAACAATATGGGTAGCTTCCATTCTCAGCCACGACAAAATAATCAGTAATGAGGAACTCATCCAGCCATAAACTATTACAAAACTGAACAAAATATTTGAAGCAACTGTTTCAGATATTGGAAGACATTCAGAATAGAATTGTGGTTCCTAGGAGAAAGGAATAACATGATAAGAGCCCCCCAGTTGCCCCAGCTCTCTGTCTAGGCCCAGGGAGGTGGAGCCAAAGAAGAACCCAGGGATCTTGCTGACCTGAGGAGGAACACACTTTGAATTTGAGGCTAGAATTTTGGACCAGGCACCCAGAGAGAAGAGAAGCAGAAACTGCATAGAGAAGAAATGCCAGAAATCTGCATGAAGGTTCTTTTGAGACTTGTTCAAATATTAACCTCCTCGTTCATGTCCAGGGGAAAACTACAAGGTACAACAGTGTAGATCTGTTGGGGAGCTGTGAGTGAAATGAAGATGCCAGGGCCACAAAGAGCTAGGAGTCACAAGAGTTCTGGCCAACCAAAGTAGAGAGGGCTCACCGACACCTTGGGCATGCAGCTGAGATCTCCAATCACTACGCTTTAGGAGGGAGGCCACTTTAGTCCTACAGACTATGTCCTGGCAAAGCTTATTCGCAGGCCTTAAAAGGAGCAACTGATTCAGATTCATAAGTAAATTAACTTCCTACCAGAGCAAAATTCAACAATTATTAAAGGAAGACAACAGAATCCAGATTCTCCAGTTAGGATTCATGGCATCCAGCATATCAAAAAATTTTACTATATGTGCAAAGGAAGTGAAAAATTTAAATAACAACAACAACAAATCGATAGAGGCAGACTTGAAAGGACAATGTTCAAATTAGCAGATGACGCCTTTAAAATAGCTATTAACAGCACATTTAAGGATTCAAAATAAATATAATGGGTAAACAGATAACAAATCTTAGTAGAAAACTGGAAACTGTAAAAGACAACCACATGAGACTTTTAGAATAAAAAAATATAATATCCTACATTAAAAATTCACTGGTAGGGCTTAAGAGCATACTTGACACTACAGAAGAAAAAAATAAGTGACATGGAAAATTTGAAGGAAAAAAAAAAAAAGTATGCAAACAAAGAGTAAGAAAAGGTCAAAAAAATCCCTGCAGACTTTTTGTAAAAATCTACAAATTAATTTTAGGATGCACATGGAAATGCAAAGGACTTACAATAGCCAAAACAATCTTGAAAAGAAGCCTAATGTTGGAAACTGTTTGATCTTACAACCTGCTATAAAGCTGCAATCATCATAATAATGTAGTATCACCTTACCATACACACACACACAAAATATTATGTACTGTAGACCTAAATGTAAGCGAAAATTACAAACAAGGAAATATAGATTATCTCTGCAACCTTGGGTTAAGCAAAGATTTCTTATATAGAACACAGAAAGGATAAACTATAAATATTTTTTGATAAATTAAACTGCCAAATTAAAACATCTGCTCATCAGATACTTTATAAGATATGAATTACACTAAAAATGTATTATAAATTATATTAAAATATATTATAAACCATGAAGATATATTATACTTCTCTCAAGCCATGCATAGGAAGAAAACACTCTCAATATATATCTGATAATGAAATTGTATGTAGAATATATTTTTAAAAACTACAAGTCAAGCAATTAACTACAGTTAGTAATAAACAGATAACCCGATAAAAAAGGGCAGAACAGGCTGGGTGTGGTGGCTCATGCCTGTAATCCCAACACTTTGAGAGGCTGAGGTGGGTGGATCACAGGATCAAGAGATCGAGACCATCCTGACCAACATGTTGAAACCCCATCTCTACTAAAAATACAAAAATTAGCTGGGCGTGGTGGCACACACCTGTAATCCCAGCTACTCAGGAGGCTGAGGCAGGAGAATCACTCGAACCCAGGAGGTGAAGGGTGCAGGGAGGTGGAGGGTGCAGGGAGGCGGAGGGTGCAGGGAGGTGGAGGGCTCAGGGAGGTGGAGGGTGCAGGGAGGCGGAGGGTGCAGGGAGGTGGAGGGTGCAGGGAGGCGGAGGGTGCGGGGAGGTGGAGGGTGCAGGGAGGTGGAGGGTGCAGGGAGGCAGAGGGTGCAGTGAGCCGAGATTGCACTGTTGCACTGCGGCCTGGGCAACAGAGCAAAACTCCATCTCAAAAAAAAAAAAAAAAAAAAAAAAAGGCAAAAGACTTGAGTAGACACAGTTCATAAAGGAATAAATACAAATGGGCAATAAACACATGATTTGTCGTCAGAAAAATA